AGAATTGAGGATGTTCATATTTTCATTTTTGATGATGATGTTGGTTCAATTTTATAGTGTAATCATATGTGTGTAACCAACAAACATGTCGACTTGCCAAAATCTGTTGTGGCAAGGATTCAGGCCGTGGTTGCAGGTTCTCCGACTGCACATCAGCTTGAAGCCCTGTTGAGATTGTTCACTTCTCCTTCAAGTTAAAACGGTTAAAACATACCACCCGGTTGGCGAGTGCGCCTGTCCTGTCCTTCGCTTGGACTCTTGCTGTACCTCAACATTGGTGGCCTTGAGCCATGAATGCGAGTGAATGGAGGTCACCACAACCATACTGTCTCTGCATGCATACATCCCCACAGCGTTCGGTGGATCTTATTTCCGTGCACAAGGACTGGCTCTGCCTTGCGTCCCCGCGTCCGGGCCGTCCCTCTTTCAACCAGGGGCTGCTGGTTTCCGTACTCTTTCAACGGGGCACTGCAAGGACTTGGCGATTGGGCTTTGAAAGCCGGATTCGCTTGTTCCATGTCGCCTTCCGCTGCAGCCGGAACGGTGGGGTGGCGCTCACGCGCCATGCAGCTGGTGAAAACAAACTGAGGCTGACAGTCAGGTCAATGTGTTGGTAAAAGAAGGCCATGGAATGACGGGCTTTGGCGGATTTCCATAGCATTGTGTATCCCTCACTTCGGAAGATTTGTTGATTATGCGGTGTGGCTCAACTGTGTCGGAATTGCAATCAATCAGTTGTGCCACTTGTTGGGCTCCTCATGATCAGTATCATCACTTCCTAAAGTCATTCAAGTCGTCCACATTCGTCCACTGTCTTCTGTAGTGTTATAAGTTATAAGTCATAGTCTTTCTGGATCACAATTGGATCATATTGGATATTCTGATCCTTCTTCCGTGCCTCATCAATGCTGGTAAATCGGCTGGAGGCTTCCCGAAGCACTTGGAAGAGCCGGTCCTTGGCACCCGGACTGCACCGTCGGGGCTGTTTTGGGTTGACGTGGTCCGCTGTCGTCCCATGTCGTCCCAGGTGCACGGTTTGACCGGAGGGGTAGCCGGGTAGCCTCCCAAACGACCAGTTACTCCAAAAAAACCTGGAACAACATGGATGATCTGTCAACATGGCTATTGGAACTACCAAAGGCAAGGGATTGTAGTGGGAATACGGCTATGGCTATTTCTTTTTCTATGTTCCCAAGTCTGCACTGAACACGCAATACATGAAGCTATGGTCCCCCTTTGACCTGCTTGCACTTCGGAACTGCGGTACAAAATGGGACAAACAAAATCACACACATCAACATCGTCCGCTGGTACAGAGTCCAATCATCAACGTTTTTAAACCTTGCTTGCTGACTTTTTGAAAATGTAACAAGCATATCTATCCACAGCGATCAAGGTACACGTACACGTGGTACCGGGCACATGAGGGCCTCAGTGGGAGTCACTGAGCCTTCGACCAAGGCTTCTCCCACGCGTGGCCTCAAAGGAAAGAGCTTCAAGAAAACCAAGTATTGAACACATTGAATAGTTTGAAAGAATAGCCATCCCAGTATTCTGGTCGCTTCTTGTTCTGAAAGAAAGAACGGAAGCCGCTTGATCGATCATGAACCACCCTGAGTCAAGTATGTTTCTGCTTAAGCAAAAAAGCTCCAGAAAAAGGTGCAAGGGCCTCATGTGGAGAGGAAAAACACAAAAAGGCATGGGATCTGATGGGAAATCAATGGAATGATTGGAACCAACGAAGCAAACGCCTGAGGGTATCGGTGGATCATGGAGTACTGAGTTGCTAAGGCCTAACTGAGTTCCGTTGGGGGCTGATGCAGAGTCCATCTGACCGGCAGTGAACTGTTCGGTCTTTCGAATGCCCGAGGAACGTCCCGAACGGATGAGACTAGATGAACTGGACAAATGACTGACACACTGACACACTGGTATGATTTTTGTTGTAAGCAATGCTTCCTACCTCTGTTGGATCTTCAATCACACAGAATCACTCAGTCATTCCCTTGACCTATCTCCGGCTTACCGAGGAGTCTAGTAGGTCAGTAATTAGGCATCAACAGTCGCTAGTAGCGTCCTTGCTCCTAGTAGCGATGCCCTTTGTTCCTAGT